GAGATAAGTAGTGAGAGAAGCTATTTTCTAGCTTTACTGTATGCATCTGTGCACTCATTTCTGCCAATGCATCATTACCAGTCATCATCCATCATCTAATCAGTCCTGGCTGGATCAGGAAGGGAGAATGCATTTGCCTGTAGCACAACTGGCAATTTAAACTGGGATCCTTCTAGAATATTTTTAAAATATACCCATAGAAGCTACACATACCTTTATTATTCCTTTGCTGCATTTTTGCTATAGGGTGATTTTGTACTCTTACAGCTATAATGGTATGCTTCCCCTGTATCAAACAGTCTATCGAAAGGCAGGTTGTTCAAACCAGGAATAAAGAACAAAATGAACAGGTTTACAGTCCTGCAGTGGTTCCAGGGATGCCTTCTTTAGCAGTATGAACCAGTAGTAGTACAGTATGTAGTCCAGATGAATCTGCCTTGCTTCTCAACAAGAAAAACTAGCCAGGACAGAACATACTGCTATCACAAATGTAATAGTATAAAATTAGCTATCAGGTTACCTCTACTAGGTACAAGACAGTGTAATAAAGGCTTTCTCTACCTAACAGGAAAGTACAAGTAATCTTCTTGATCAGTACTGTCTGCAAAGTTAGCAGTACTGGTTCATGTGTAAAATACAGCATTCTGCTCTAACAGTCTTCCTTTTTCCACTTCAATTTGTTGCTTTGTGGAAGACCTGCCTTATCTGATAGAAGGATGAGGGAATCTGGTATCCAATCAGTTCATATTTAAGCAATTTTCAAATATTAGCTATTTCTTTTTCCTTGTAGGAAAAATGTCTTTAGAAATTCCTCATAAGTATCCAGTATGCTTTCATTCTAAATAATAGGTATTCATTTTCAAAACAAATTACACAGCAATACAAGATCTGGGGAACAATCAAAGAGCTTTTGCTCTTATGCAGAATATAATGAACATCCCAACTGGCCCCAAACCCCACACAAAATGTCTCCCATATAAGTTGGCAAGTCTAAACTAGTCATTGTTTTGTGCTTAAAAAATAAATTCAGTAAGTAATTAAAATAAGCTCTCTACGTCTGTCTTCTTGGTTTTACTTTGAAGGACAAACTAGAACAGTCAAAGACAAAACTTCTTAGTTAATTTATGTCTATCTTCACAGATCAATAATATTTTTAAGTGTTGATATGGAAAAGTGTTTACAAAGATTGCTCCGTTGCACTTCTAGTTTAATGGTAGTTTATTTCCTTCCTGTCAGATTGCCTTGCCTGCTGAGAAAACCTTTGATGCTGACACACCTTCAAAAGATCAGCAGGGAGAATATTCCTTTATTACCTAGGCACTATAGATGTCAGTTCTTCTATAGGTCCCTTTCCTCTCAGATTTTTAGTGTTTAGACTTTCTACGTAGCCTTCATTTCCTTTTCATTCTGATGAAATCTACTACAACTTTGTTTCTTTTTCAAGGATTTTGCTGAATTTTTTATTTCCATCAAATTCTTCCATCTGGTACTACCCTTCATCTTTAAAGAGTTCTGTGCTGACTGGGGAGGAAGAACCTGAGCTAAAGTTCACAAGAGCATAAAATAGCACTGTTTGTTTTGCAGATTTTCCTACCCTACAGCAGTCATGACAGCTGCTCCCATAACAAATGATTAGAGCTTACAAACAAAGCGGAGTTGCAAAGGACAAGGGATTTCAAGGAGCCATCCACTATGTAATTTGCAGATAGATAGCTATTTACAGTGTCTACTGCAGTATTTACAGTGCAAAAATGGATATGAGATCCTTTAGCATTCCCTAGCCATACGGATCTCATCTATTTTTGCTCTTCTCAACCCTGTATTCCTCATTCATCCCAAAGCACACACAAGCATACATAAAACTGTCTTCTGTTTGGAAGCACATTCCTAGGAAGTCTCACAAGGACAAATTCTGGAAAAAGGCACAAAACGTGGAAGCAAAATAATTACAGAAAGTAGTGTTTGCTAATTGTTTTCGGCACTGGTGGTGGATTCCAGTGAAAAATATCTACCTCTCTCTGACTAGAATGCCATTTGAATTAAAGGTGTAATAACAAATAATCTGACATAGAATATCTACTTCTACAGAGTAATTTATTTTCTGTATATTAACCAATATACTGCAATTCTGGCAAAGTCTTTCCAGGCTGCTCATAGATGAATGGTAATAAAATAAAAATTTCTAAACAATCAGCTAGTTTAGACACCAACTTCAATAGAAGTTCTGCATCTAACCCTAAATCATTCAGAGTAAAAGAAAAAAGTGGTTTCACCAATCAATAAATTATATCACGGAAAACATGACAATGTTTTCCCTAATTGTGGCCAAATTTGGGTCGTCCTTTCCCTGATGTATTTTATCTGCAATTGTAAGTTAGCCCTATATTGATTTTTTGCACATCATCTCATGTGGCCTCACCTGAACTTTGGGTGACTTACATGCATATACAAGAGCACAAATCTGTTTCAGAATTGTCTCACTGATAGGTGAAGTTTTAAATGTTTTATTAAACAGTAAATTACAGCAAAGCTGGTTGTCCTTTTACTTGCAGCACTGTAAATCAAAATTTTAATCAATGATGCCATATAGTTATAGCAAGGACCCAATAAAAAAGAGAGCCAAAACCAAAAATGTGTTCTCTCCCACTTTTGTGTGCATGTGATAAACCACTTGTAAATGATGCTCTTTACTGTAAGTTTGAAGTCAACAGGCTTTCATAGTAAATGACACAAAAGTGCTACCAACATACTGCTGATATATTAAGCACAGCACAAAAGATTATCTGCTGTTTTTGGCTTTTCCCTAAGGAGATTTTTATCTCTTTATAGTTGAGCACGTTACATGAAAATTTACCACGGTGCATTAATACTGGGGTAAGAATAATGTGTAAACTTGCTGAGAATTTCCTGATTTTAAAAATATTGCTGAAGGAAAAAAAAGGCCAGGAAGAATGGGGTCCAGAGTGTTATATGTTGTTTGTATCTGTGCTGTAGCATTCCTAGGTATGCAGTATCTGCACATGTCAGATTGAACACATGGGCTAAATTCTGGAGGAGGAACTTTTCAGATTATTTTTTTTTTTTCAGTGGAACGAAATACAAGTAATGTGAGCACAGAAAGCATCTGGTATTTATGCAGAGAAAATTTTTGTGCTATTTGTGTCTTTCTCACATGGAAGATGGACAATCACAATAGTCCAGGTAGATGAAACTATTTTTAATGAGAGTTTTATAAAGTGTTTTTGGAATAATTATGCAACTTGATTTATTCTTTTGGTCACAGAAACTTAGTTTGCATTAGGCAACCTGCCCTATGTTTTCAGTGTCATTTGTGACTTGAAATGCTCTGACTGGGCTTGCTCAGAAACTGCAAGTTATCCTACAGTCTCGTTTGAAGATATCAGATTGTTTTCCAAGGCAAACAAGCAAGACTCAGCACCTCAGACTAGTGACCATCTTTGAAGGGAAAACAAGGGAAAAGATTAAAGAGCAAATTTGCTTTTCCTTTAGGGAAAACAAAACAAATTAACGATAAAAAATTGTATTATTCTGAGAAGATATGATTATTTTCCCCAATAATACTTCTAAAATAATGCCAATAAGAAAAAGATAAACAGCCTTGTAAAGTTGCAGATAAAAAAGAGAAATGGAAAGTTTCTACAGAAGAGCTGAACACCTGTACAGAGGTATTGTGTCACTAATCCCTAGTAGGGCTTCAATTTTAGGTCTGTTGTAAAAAATCAACCATCTCTTCAAGCACAGGTATTACAGAGAAAGAAAACTTAAATGCTTAAATAAGAACTCATAGAAAAGCACAAAAATTATGTCGAAGCTGAATAACAAAATGAAAATTGACATAAGAATACACAGCAATGTCAGACCTGACAGTGTGAAGAAGGCAGAAAAGCAGGTCAAAAGTGATTATGTCTTTCTCATTGTAGCTACTACAGGGTAGAAACTGGAGTCAATTTTTGCGAAATAAACAAGAAGAAAAATTAACATCAAGAGTATTAATAATATAACTAGTAAGATCACAACAAAATTATTTGCAGAAGGAATCTGCTATCAAGAAACAAGGAGAAACAAAGACAAGCAAATGCACATGAACATTCCACGCCATGTCAGGGCAGGGAAAGCAAACAGGACTACATAAATGTGTGAAATGAAAATCTATTTTGACTATATACTGACTATATTCTGACTCTATACTATGAGTGCTGCTCATACAACATCTGTTATACGTGGGGACAGTCCTGGCCTTGCTAAGTGGCACCGTGCACTTCTTTCAAAACAGCAGCCTCTAAGTAAAGGATGGCATGAAAAATGGTAACTTATGGGCAACTGCACCTTCAGAAATTTTTCCAGGTGACTTGGTGAAGATAATGGAAGGAAAATATCAGAAAGCCAAGCAGTTCAGATTTATGAAAGTCTGAAATTAAGGTTGTACATATACATTAATTCTTTTCTCTCCTCTGTTTTGTTTTTCTTTCTTTTTTCCACTGTTACACAATTACATAATTACATTCATTTCAGCCATCATATTCAACAGATTGCAAGTTACTGCTTTGAAGAGAATGATTCTCCATTCATTTCCTTCAGGAGCTGAAAGGATTACGGTAAATAAAATGGGATACTACAAGGAAGAAAGAACAATCATACGGCTTAATAATTTTGACTGTCTTATGGAGTATTAAGTTTTATCCCTTTCTCTGCCAAAAAGATCCTAGAGGAATTTGGACAAAACACTTGAACTGAATCTTTCAGAAATCATACCTAATCGGATATAAATTGCAAAACCACTAAGAACACACTTGCAAAAACTATCAGTGTGATTAGATTTTTACAAAATGCTCTGTCTAACTAAGTACCATGCAGGCCTCTGAAATTTTCTGAACTACAAACATCATATTGTGCTGAATTAGCAGGCAATAATGAAAACAATGAATGTTTCATGAACTTTGAAAAATGTAGATAAAATGTAGCCAATGTCATACACTTACCTCATATGAAAGCATATAAATCAATGAGAAACTGTGTCTTCAGAGCCAGGGTCACTCAGCGTGTTAGATAAGGCTTGCATATTGAAAAACAAAAGCAAAATATCAAAGATCAGTGCCTGCTGTTTCTGCAGGGGACTGAATGAGTCTGAGGGGTGCTGAGGAGTGGGGAAATTCAGAATGTAATCATCCTCATACCTTCTGTTTCAGTATCTTTTATACGTAGATTGCAGCTGATACATTTAAGGAATTAATAATTATTCAAGTCAGTGCATCTGTTGATGCACACAGGATGAATTAGCAATCTCCTCTTATCTGCAGGAGTTCTGGATTGTTTCTTACCCGCTCCATGCTCTCTAGATTGGTTGCCAGCCAAAGTCTTACCATCATACAATTTTATTTTTGTAGGCTCAAGTCTCACAGGCTAAGACATTCGATGCCTGTTCAATTTAAAATTTTTCATTTCTCCTTTTTAATGTTCTTCCTTATAGTTTCCTGTTATGCTTCGAGGTCAAGTGTAAAGATCAATAAAGCCTGCAACAAACAAGCCATAAAGAAGCAATCTGTACTGTTTATTGGACCACACTTACAATAACTCCATATATGAAAAGCATGCTAAAAATGTTAAATTGCCTGTAACAGAACAATTCAAATTACTAACAGTCTCATTTATTCTGTCTGGAAAGTTGGAAACTATATATGAATGAACAAATGATACAGGATATTTTCTGCTTAAGAGGAATGTTTCAGAGTTATTTTCTTTAGGTATCAAATTGCCAAACCAGAACATCTCAGTCATGGCAAAGCTTCATGTACAAAGAGTAATAATTTAAAATTAAAAAAAAAGTGAAACATACTGCTTTTCAACTATAAACATATAAACTGAATTAATTACCCTGAACATTTTTCTCAAAAACTGTATACAAGACACCATCATTTATTCCATCTAAAATGAAAAAAATCTGGATTATTGTAAGTAGTTGAGACTAGATAATGTGAATTGAACTGATCTTTAGTGACCTCTGACAAGAAGTTTCATCCATATGATTTACTTCTAAATGAAATCTTGTATGGATTAAACTGGAATTTTGGTTCAAATTCAGATACCTTCAAGAAAAGACATTTGCTAGAAACTGCATGGAATATTAATGTAACACATACTGACTGTGGGTTTGCTCTAGATGTAAAATGAATGCGCTCTTATTTGTTGTCAGTTGAGAATCTGATAAAAATGTTTTTTTTTTCTACTGAATTAATCCAGGGAGCCATCTATATGTGCCCATCTCTTGTCCTGTTGATACAGGTATGCCATTTTATAGGAAAAATAAAGGAAAAAAATAAAACATGCAAACTTTTGGTTAGTGAGGGTTTCCGATTGTTGGTTGAGTTTATTTAAAAAACAAACAAACAACAACAACAAAAAAATCCCTTATGTTACATTCTTGATCTTTCATGTTCAGATTAGATATCAAAGAGTAAACATGACTGATTTACATGTATGTAGAAATGAAAAATAAATATACAAACAAAAAAGCTTTCCTGTGCACATGGAAAGCACACCGCATGTATTTCCAGAGAAGCCTCTGCAGAGCAATCTGAAACTGTTAATCTGCTTTATCTGAGAACTAACACATTTGGTTCATCTTATTCCTTCTTCTTCACTCACAAAACTCAGCGGTGAAAATTTAATGGAATAATTTAGTCTCAAATCCCTCTTGTAGTGAGGGGTCCAAAACTGGTCATGATATTTCAGATGTGGCCACATCAGTGCTGCACACAGAGGATCAACTTTCCCAGTCCTGTTGACTGCACTATTTCTGATGAAGGTCAGGCTATCGTTGGTCTTCTTGGCCACCAAGACATACTCCTGCCTTGTGTTCAGCCAGTTGCCAGAAAGCACCCCTATGCCTTTTTCTGCCAGATAACTTGACAGCTTCTCTCCCCCATGTCCATACTGCTGCATGGAGTTTTTGTGACACAAGTGCAAAATCCAGTATTTGGCTTTCCTGAATGTCATAACATTGACTATAGCCTGCTGATCAAGCCTGGCATTATTTAGTATCTATCTTCTCACATACATCGTGGTATTAGAAGAAAGGTTATATTCATTACTTCTGTGTTTGCTACTGAGGTGATCATCACTCATCATCATCATCACTCATCATCACCACATCCAGATCTACATTCACATCTGAGGAAGAACACCCATAAAGTGGAAAAATTTCGGAGAAAGCCCTCCCAAAAAATGAAGATCTGTAAAGTTTGAGTTATAGAAAGGTGAAGTAGTTCTTTCAATTTAGACCGTTAAAGATAAACATTGAATTATTGATATAAAAGACAAATACTTAAATATCTCTCATATTTCTCAGTAAGTCATAACAACCCCAGAAATGGGATCTGTACAAGAACTGGATTTTTAAAAAATTATTCAAAATATTATATGTGCTTTTACATGTTTACAAATCTGTATAACATGTTATCTTGTAATTTTTGATTTCTTTCCTTGTTTTCTAGTAGATAGTGCAATTCATCATTGGGATTGCATACTAATTAATCAATAAAGATAAGAGACTCATGAATTGAGACTACCCTTCTAGGAGCAGCAGCAGCCCACCACTAAGGATATTCCAGTTAAAGTATTTCACAAAAGATCTGTAGTTTCTCCAGCAAAGAACATCGTAGAAATATGAAATGGATCTGAATTATTTGCAGTGAGTTCAAAATTTATTAATCTAAACAGTAAAAAACAACCCTTCAAAATTTTGCTGGTCCCCATAATGATATCTAATATGTGGCACAGTACAGAAAGAACAATGTTTTTTCTCTTAATTTTCCAAAATGCCATCTTGATATATGCAAGGTAATGCAGAGGTTCAGTATTTGGCTTTCAGAATACTAGAGATGAATTTAAAACAGAAATGATGAAGCTGTGACACAACTTAAAATATTTCAACATTTTTTGCCAGTGCATTAGAAATTTCAGCAAAGAAAACCAGCAAACTACACCAGCAATTTTTGTATCCACTGCTTCTACAAATGAGAAGACTGCCAAGCTGAAATAAATCCAATTAATCTTACTTATGAAGTAACCTGTAAATTTCTTTCTGTGAGATCTGTTTCCTTCTGGGAGTAGTATAGCTTTGAGCATTCATCTAATCTATTTCTCCTATGTATACAAGTAAAACCTGTATGAAAGTGATTACAATGTAGCTAGACAGATACATTTTTTAAACTTTTTAACTTTTTTTCCAAGAGTTGACATCTCCAGAAAAGCTCATTTTGGAGCATTTTCAGAGTGCTTTCTCAAGCAATGACATTTAAATGGCTTCTGACATTTTTGAGGATAGGGTTGGGTTGTTTTTTTTTTAATGTGAAAACTGAAGAAACCTCCTTTTTTTTTTTTTTTTTTTTTTTTTTTGGTATGCAGAAGCAATCAAGGATTCTTACTCACCATAAAACATGTCAAAATAATGGATGGCCTGCTCAGCAAAGAAAATGAAGAAGTCAGGTAGAAACACACCACATTCTGCTAAGAAAAGACTCCTTGTGCAAGTCCAGTTCACGTATTGCCTTCATGAAAAGCCATATTAGACAATTATTTGGAACTGGTTTATTTTCCCAGTATAAGCCTTTGAAATAAAATAATCTTCTAGTACTTCCACTGGTAATGTTACTTTTCTGAGTGTGTGTGTGTGCAAAAGAATTCACTTCTGATTTCCAGTTGACCTAGTAGTTCATTAATTACTGCAGATTATTATGAAATCAATAGTAACATGCCATTGTTGATTCACTTCCTATTCATAAATGTGAAGGAGCTTCCCACCCCTTCATTATTTAATTTATTTATTAGAAAGATTCTTCAGTGAGTAATATTTTATGCTGGCATGAAGCCTCTCATTTCTGCATGCTCAAAAACAGGGAAGTGGGAATGAGGAAGGACTGCTAACATCCTTTCTACCTCTATAATTTTTGTTGCTTTTTTTTTTTATCGGAACTAACAAGAGCAACAAAATTCACTCATTCTAACTTGTGTAACCCCTGGCCATACAGCTTTTTTGTACTACTGAGCTCATTAAGATCAGATGCACAAGTACTTCAGGTGTTAGGAAACTCAAAGAGTGACATCTCTGACAATGCTAATACTTGGGAGCAACAGAATAATTGTAGCCTTATTATCTTGCCTAATGTGTATTTGCTTGAGGTTATTTGTCATTATGCCTACTTGAAGAGCACCTTTTCTCAAGGGCAGGTCTTTGTTATCATAAGTACTTCTGGCTTTCTGGTAGCTGAATTTTTTCCTAGGGTTGTTTATGTTTTCTTGATGTGACTTCTTACTAAGAATAAGAAAGAGTAGACATGATACATTGCTGCTTGAGCTGAAAGATTCTTGTAGCATGGAAGCAATGTCTCAGACATACCGTCCCATCTGCAATGGCAGCAAGAAAGAGTGGTGAAAAGAACATGTACACAGATCTGGAGACAGACAGACATGCCATGAGGCCACATTGTCCTTGCTGCTGGACTAGCATAGAATGCAGAAACAAGCATTGAAGTTACAAAAAATAAAATAAAGAATCTCAGCATAATTGTAAAGAGATCTATGTCATAGATGAAATGCTTGGAAAAATCAGAACTGTAACTCAAGCAACCGTATTCCGAAAATAGCTCCTTTCTGGGGATGTTTCTTTTTTCAGTATCCTTCATCAACCTTTTTGATGTTTTTAATTCATGGGTGGCAGTTCAAAGCAACTTGACAGTTATTGCTACACTCTGAATTTTAGTTATTTAGATATCTTAAGAAATTAACACTCTATATGGTGATTTGTGACAAATACAGCTATCAATCTATTGTTATAGACTTTCAGTTGCTTTTTTTTGGTATTCTGAAGTCTATGTGAGTAGTACAGTGTCTGTATTTTCTGTCCAGATACTGCAGCTGAGTGGGGTAACCTACTAACTTCTCACAGCTGACAGTTCAAATATGAAATCACAGATTTCATCTTTCAGCAGCAAATATGCCTCTGGCATCTTTCTTTTGCATTTGTCAGTCATGAAGCTGTACACCAGATTCTGAGAGAAGAGAAGCAGCAGTGTCACCACAGGAGATATAAAAATGTTGGTCTTCGGGGATTTGAAGGAGAAGTTTGGTTTCATAGATAACAGAAAATGCTTTGCAGACTTTCCATGGAATTGCTCTATTACCTCAGTGTTTGACATCCAAATGTTGTGAGTAGACCACTTCTTGCACTGAATATCCTTATTTCAATACATTTTTACTTTCTTGGACAGGATTTACACCCTCTCATCACAGAACAGACAATACACGCAGTTGCATTTTTAGAATGATGTAAAGCTTCTGATCTGTTTTTAGCCATAATCATTTTAAAAGAATAAACATAGTAAACTGAATTTCTGAAACAATTGCTTTAAAAAGCCTTCAGTCTACAGCCAGGTCAACGGGAACAGAGGTTCATGAATTCTGATACAGCTCAGAGCTCTGATGTATTGGAGGCAAGTGGCCAAACAGATGAAGCTGCTTGGAAGTCTAGGTAAAAGGTATTTCTCCAGGCCCACTTTATGCTGCACTTTCTTTGCCTTGTGCCATGTTTTTGTCTGGAAATCAAATCCTGGGTCTGCCCCTCCTAGCCCTCATTTAAGGTTTAGCAGCTGAGGGAGAAGTATCTCTCTGGATTGAGGTTATATTTCTCTTGATCTGTCACTGGTCATTGGAAGTCATTGGAAGGCACTTTTTCTTCTTGTCTTCTATTGCTCCCATAGTGCTTATCTCAGTAGAAGGCACTGTCACTGCCTTCTTTTGCCACATACCTCCATAGGGGCTCTTCTGTATAATGGTCAGGAAACCAACTAAGAATGACCAGCTAAGTGTTGGTAGAAACATTCCCTTCTCTAGCTGAAAAACTTTTAGATCTTTATCTGTACATGGATCTTGGAAATGAATCTTGTTTGGAGTACTGATTTTATTACTCCTTTTTCCTCTCCTATCTCCCTTGGTAGCATACATTTTATTCCCCATTGTCTGCAGAATAATATGCTATGATGAGAAAATGGTCTGCTTGACAGGGTATAACATAGTTTATGATGCAAGTTGTATTTATAGACCAAACATATATATACATATATATATATATATATATATATATATATATATATATATATATATAAAACCTGAAATACTTCAGGAGAAATATCTGGCTCATACACCTCATACACTCTAGGTACTGTTTCGTGCAAATAAAATTTTCTAGTACTTCCTTGGTCTGCAATCCCAGAGGAAACATGAACCACATTTCTTAAAAAGTGGGTTTGCCTGAACTTAACATGATATAAGATGAAGAGCTTACCTCAAGTGTACCATAGAGTCCTGTTCTCTGCACTTCAACAAGTCTGCTGTCTTCATGTATCACTGTGTAAATGAAAGTTCGCAGAGGTGAGAAGGAGTGCATCATCCACAGACAGTAAAAATTTTTAAAGCTTGTAAAAACTGGGTTAGTAGAGATGTAGAAAAACACAAGCAATAAAGCAAGTAAGATTTAACTCCTTCAGGTAAAAATACATAGAAGAAAATAGTGGGTGAAAGTGGGTCATTAAAATATGAATCGTAACTATTTCAATAGGGGACTTGAAAGATTCTCAAAATTGTTTTTGTGTTCAGTGCTCTACATACCTGATGCACATTATTAGTTTTTCCAGCACATGAATTAAAAAATATTTTCTATGCCATATCATAGATTAGAGAATTTGACGTTGTTTCAATTAAACATGGTACCAGTTATAATTATTTTGTTAATATTCCAATGAGCAAAGTACTTTAATTTTTGTTGGGAACAAATATGTAGCATAAGAGAAGGTGAATGGGATGATGATTATTAGAAAATAAGACAAATTTTAAAAACTGTATATACTGTAAAAGCACTTAAATAATAAAGCAATGCAATATAGCCTAAGGAACATTTACAGGGCACATCCAGTTATTTCCATAAAATCAAAATTCTATGTTCAATCCTTAAAGAACTGTTTTTAAGGATGTTTTGAGGTGACACTGCTACTGCTACTACCTGCTCATAGAGGTCGATCAAGTGAGAAAGTGAACCTTGAAGGTGCTGTGCTAAAAACTTCTAAATACCAAGTGCAGACAAGGACAATCTTGAATTATTTCCTTGTTTTCTTAGACTCTCCATCATGCTTAGTCAGTTCTGCATGGTGAGTACTGCTCAGACATTAGTGACAAACTTAATATACAATAAAGCAAGGGTACAGGACAGCTTACTACTTAGAACAGCAGTAAATTCTAGTGCCATAAGTATTGTGATTCTTTGTTGATTAGTGCACAGAGGAGCCAGACTTCCTCATCTAATTGATGCCATACATACCTTCCTCTTTCTCTGTTTTTTTTTTTTCTATTCCAGATCTTCAAGACATGAGGTAAGCAAACATCTTTCTCCTATGCAGCTTTCCCCTTGTTTTCCTTTCCAAAATGTGCTCATTTTTATATCCTATGCCCTGTATGAGTATATGCTATCACATGGCTTACAAGGAATGCCAGAGAACCTCTTAGTTGGATTTAGTCAAGTGTTGACCAAGGCATCCAGCCTTTCAAAACAAAGCCTTTTAGTGTGCCCAAATATGGCCAAAGTGGGAGATATACATAGGCAAATAGGCACTTAACATCAGATATTAGGATATCTTTTTTAAAAAAAAACCCACAAGGATTAAGTCAAAAAAACATCTTCATATGAATGAAGAAGGTCTACATGATGAAGATGGTCTACAAAAAAACAACAACAAGAAAAACCATGCACGCACACACTAAAAACACCTTTTGCTATATAATAATGAAGACTAGGTGAGTGCATGTGTGTAAATGCTGAATCCAGCTACAAAATTCCAGAAAACAAATTTTAAAAATGAGACTTTACAGTATTTGCTACCTATTTCCAGAGGTACACTATAATGCAGTCCAGAATTGTCTCAGATACTAAAATCACATGTTTCTATTGTACCAGAATCCAGCACTGCTTCCAGTTTTCTTCAGACTGTCTCAACAATTTCTCCTGAGATTGTGAGGTTTGAATCTTTCTAAGTTAAATTAAGGTGTCACTGTGCCATTATATCAGGCACTGTACATTGTAATGTACTGTTTATCATTTTAATAAGTACTTCTCTTTGGTAACAAAGCCCGCAGACTAGGAATAAAAAGTACTGGGGTGCTAGGAAATCTTATGGGCTGTTGAGTCAGTAAGACATAATGATCCCGACTGCCTGACCTCAGGAACATCAAATGACATTGTTTCAATCAGCTGTAAATACCATTTTATATGGAGGAGGTATGTTAGAGTTCTGAAATAAGATCTCCATAAAGAGCAGCAAGCTATGCATTTCAAAGTGGCATCCTGACGATTTTGGCTCACTGGGGAGTAAGTGATCAAACATGTATCAACAGCTATGATAAATGGAGTGCAGGTAAAATGACACATTTTAGCAATACTGCACTTCTTAAAAACAAGAAGTGTCTGAAGGTAGATTTAGTCCACATTTAATACTTGGCCTTTTGTCTCTGCAGCTAGTAAAAATTCATGTTGCAAATAATCACTGACTTAAAGAGAAATTCAAGTCTTCAAATAAACTCTTAATCACAGGCCTTATTCTGTTTGCTCTTGCTATTTATACATGTATTTGCAAATTTTATATTTATGTGTCACACATGAGCTTTTGAGGTGGACTCATAATGGCGTGCAAACAGGAAGTGGTTATATCTACTAATATTGAAAGATTTGAACACAGATCTTAAGATCATTTCAGTGTTTCTCCAGCAGTCACTGCACATTAAGTAGCATATAGAAACCACCTGTTGAATCTGTTTCTCAGTATTGACTAGAATTACTTGATTACAAGTAATTGATCCTAAGGAATTTTCTTTTATAGTACATTGTGACTCCTTTACTGTTCTCTAACCAGAAAAAAAAAGTCTGAGGAAGCAGAGAAAATCTGAACAGATCATGAAGGTTGAAAGACCTCTGAACAGTCATAGAAGAACATTATACAGCAAATGAAAAGAAAAAAACACTCCATTTAGTGAGTTCCTTTTTTTGTGCAATATGTCAGGCTCTTACTTGTTACAGTAGAAAACTCAGTAGGAATGCAAAAGCTGTAACAAAGAAAAACTCATTCACTACAAAGAATATCTTGTAGTTGGATGCTCACACATAAATAGTATTTCCAAAGCATTTTGCTTTTAACTTTGAGATGCTGAAGATTGCCATGGGAACAGAGGTGTCAGAAACCAGGAATTTTCTTTACCAAAAGACCACAGGATAATGGCAACTTTAAACTTGCTTCCTTCAGTTTCGTTATTGGTTCTACACCCTGTCTACAAATCTGGGGGATTTCTCTACACAGAAAGGATCCTCCAAACAACTGATTGAAACCAATAATGCTCTGTCCTTTATTTTTCCTGACATCTTTTCATTTGAAGCACTGTTGAAATTTGCTCAGTAGAAAGTTAAAGTATAATCTAAGCAGAATACAGCGTGGGATGCAAAAGTTTTCCAGTGATGTTCTCTGGTAATAAATTAATATATTTATGAGGATTACATTTATCACAATAAAGGTGTCTCATTTCCTTGTTCTGTCATGTATTGATACTCCATGTGAGGATTTCAGGCACTTGAATTTATGAAGAGTTATGCTTTAAGGAATGGAGGTTTTGACTAAAGAGAGATGCAATTCATTTCTAAGTCACTTAGAAATGTACAGCCTCACATTAGCTACAAGTGATGTACCCATAGACTTGCCTGCAAGGTGTCTCAGACTTACTGAGGCTGCTCAGGAAATAGAATGAGGTGTGGTTTCAGTAAAAGCTGAGCTATACCAAGGGCCTTAGAAGGTGGAGAAATCAATGTTTTCAGCTGTTTCTGCGTCTGAATTTAACGAAACTAAAATCTTGCAATCTTCCTCTGTTTGAAGCTATTACGCTGCCCATAGTTTCTATTTCAAAAACTCAGGAATCCAAATGCAGATGCTTATGATAAAAATCACTCTTTCTGCTCAACGTTTTCACAAAACCAATTCATATCAGTGGGAAATGCCAACATACCAAACCTCTTCTAAAGAAAGTCTAATAGAAAACCGATCTATCAGTTGAGATGACAGCACTCAAATTTCTAGCCTGGAGGTAGTCTACATATCGTTGTTAAATCTCAACTTGAGAAAGCATGCAAAGGATCCTTGAAATTGCTATTTAATAACATACAGTAAATAAATTTCTTAAACACTGGCTATTACTGTCTTCAACTGCAAATACAATGAATTCCTAATAAAAAAAGAAAAGTAGGGGGAATTTTAAGTGAAAAGTAATGAACAGCTTTCCACCAGAAGATGGATGATAAGAAACAGTAGTCAATAGTCCATTAGCAAGTCCATTATAACCTTGGAATAGAAACTTTCCTTATTTTAGAAAGCTAAAACAATTGTAAGTGAATTTTAACAACTGAATAAATGCACATGCTAATCTGAAGTTACATAAATTATATAAATTAGCCATGTCTTGTACTGCACAAAAAAAAGTTAGTAACTCATTATCAGACCCATTATCAAACTCCTCATTGTGAGTACACATACTTTCATTGCTAACGTGTCAGCATTTCCATTACAAACACTTCTTTTCAGAGGCTTAAATATCAATCGTACTGCTGAAATTCTGCTTCAATTCATTCATTCTGGAAGATATTTTTATAGATGGTTTTAAGATAGTTAAAATGCCACCACTTCTATATGTGAAATAATAACAGTTATTATTTTATATAATTACCTCAATTTCAAACATTCCTTTGCAATTACAGGCATTCAGTCACCTGAACAACTCAGCTCAAAGCTGTTAGGAAAATCCTAGCCAAAATTTTTTCAAGACTGAGACACTGAAAACATGAGGTGAATGTGAACTTTCTCATTTACTAAATCAAGTTATATGTTAAGAATATGTCACTTCTTGCAAAATGCCAGTATTTACTGTAGTATCTATAATCCAAATTAATCCAATGAGAAAACTAGACTTTATTTTGCTGACTCCTGTCTCGTATACGTTGCCTGTAGGTACGCTATTGTAACTATTTATGTGTAATTATGACATCATTTAAAATACCTTCTTCATCCATCTCATTTCAGAATCAGGAAGCTTTTTTTGAAGCTTTGTGCTTCAAAAATACATCTTCAAATTTCATTTGGGCCTTGTGAGTTTAGGGGACTTTTACTACTTCAGAGAAAAGGGTACAGGTGGAACTCAGAGAAGAATACTGCATTGTGTCCTCCTCCTTGTTTCCATTTAGCTTCCTCTCTTACTATTTGTTGTTTCAAGAGGCAGAGGAAAAGCAAATTTGTGCTTTCCTACATGTCTAAGAAGTCAATGTT